ATAATAAAATAATACAGATATGAATAAATAAGATAATAAAATATATAAATATATAAATAATAAATATAAAAATAAAACAGAGGCAACAACGTAATATGTGGTCTAGTTCCTATTTCTATCATTGATAAAGTGCAACAAATTGTCCATGATTGTATAATTATCAAAATAATTGTCAAAAAGTCACTGAACAAATTCAAAAATTTTGTTAAAAAAGTCTTATGGAACTTCCATTGTAAAATGGTTACAGAATGGGAAAAAAGTGTTGGAATCAAATCAAACAGATGGAAAAAGAAATATAAATCTATTAACATGAATAACTCCATTACAACCAATAATAATAATATCTTAAATAATGACAATAATAATAACAATAATAATAACAATTACAATAATAATATATTATTTAATATATATAGACAATTAAAAAATAATCATTTAAAGTTACTAAATGATTATATTAATTTAGGAATCAAAAACCAGTTTGATTGGCCTTGGATTTATAAAATAGGTTTTGCAGCAGGGCCTTAACATGCTATTAACAACTGTTGTTGCTAGGTGATAGGTTGTAGGCATGTTTCTTCGAGTTAGTCTGAGTCTCATCTTTACATAATTATTAGGATAAGTTATGTATCTGTATTATTTTATATAATATAAGAGACTTTCTCTTTTTCTAATTAATAAATTTGAGACAAGACCTTGTTGAAACAAAAAAAAAATAAAATTAAAATTAAAAATGAATTTTTAAAAAAATACAAAAAAACATTTTTTAATCAATAATTTATAATATAATTTTATTAAATAATTGATAAATTCAATTTTACATTTAATTATTAATTTTTCATGATATATAGGTGTTTTGTTAATTCTAAAGTAAATTTGTCAATTTTCAAAACTATTAGTTTGATAAGTAACAGTTTGTTCAGTCCCTTCTCCCATTGTCATTCTTTCAAAAAATAATTGAACCTAAAATATTTTAAAATAAATAAAAATAAAATTATAAATTTAATTTAATTTTAATTTATTTACATGTTTATGATTTTTTTTTCAATGTTTGATGTAGTGAACTATCATAAAAAAAAATTTGCTTGTAATAATTCTTGCATAAATAATGGTATATGAAATGCAAAGACATGTATATATGAACTAACATCTGCATACTGATATAACTCTTCTTGCTCTATTTTACCATTTTTTGTTTTTTTTATTGGTTTTGCAAATTCTTTAACCTATTCACAAGCATCTTGTGAAAATTGTATAATATCTTTTTCAGTCAAATTTTCTTGTCTCATTATACAATATAAATTATAAAAATTTCTTCACAAATTTTCTATATCCTTGGCTTTTTAACCTATTATAAACTTAGAAACTGGAAGTTTCTCAATAATCTTTAATTTTGTTGATCCCATTAATGTATGACAACTTCATTTAGATGTTTTTGTTTTTTTTCTAAAGAAATAAGTTTAAAAATAGTAACACTAATTTCTTGCATTATAATTTCCATTTTTTTCTCATGTTGATATATTTTTTATAATATTATAATGACACATTAGTTCCAAAAAAAAACATTCAAGTAACATATCAACAATTTGTAACATTAGATGAAGTTCACCAGGTATACAATGTTTGAAAGTTAAAAATGGTAATAAACTTGTACAAATTTTATTCAATTAATAATTAAAAATAATTATTATTAAAAAAAATATTTGTAAAAAAAAAATTAAAAATAATTATTAAATTCTACAAAATAAATAAATTTTTTACAATACCTTTTGTATTTTTCACATTTGATCAAGATTTATTTATATCCTATCATTCATTTTTATAACAGTCATATCATAAACAAAAAATAATTTGATGTTGAACCATTAATTTCAAGAACTAATGCCATATATTTCCAATCTCCAGTAAACCAAAATTTAATTTTCCAATGATTATTATTTTTGTCAATAAAACTATCATTATGTAAAATAGTTAATTTTTCAATAATTTGATTGTGAGCTATAGTTAATGATTCATGTTTTTCTGTTCGCAGATAAAGACAAATACTATTATTTTATTATTTACAAATTAATAATATTAATATTTTTGTTCTTTAAAATAAAATAAAATAAATATATTACTTATCAATATTGATATTTAGAACTAAGAAACATACATTTTTTGTTTAAAATACATGCTGCTAATATCATATGATGATTGTATCATCCCATCTGTCATTTGGTTTCACCCAATTTAATTTTAATTATGTTATTATTATATAATACAGGATTATTACCTTCTGTTAAATCAAGAATCAATGTAATTAATAATTCAAAAAACATCTTACTGAACCATTTTCCATTTGATTCTTATTAATAATTATTTTTTCATTATTTTCATCCAAATAAATATTTGAATTGTTTTCTTTTTGAATTGTAGAAAATTCATTTATTGAATTAATTTTGAAATTTTTAATTGGAATTTTATTTTCCATAATTAAGTTTATTTCTTTTTTCATGCTGAAAAATGCCACTCTCTTTCTAAAGAAGATTGAACAGCTGCCAACTGTTTATAACTATCTTGTGAAATTAAACTATTATCACAAGCACAAATAATAAAATCTAAATAAATTTGAGATTCTAATTTATTGTTGAAATCTGAAAATTTAATTCTAATAAATTGTCCTTGAATATTTATTCTTAAACTATCTAAATAATATCAGAAAATCTATGATAAATACAGTGGCTTCCAAAATAAACACATCATTTAAATTGTAAATTGTTTTTTATATATAATCGAAATTAAAAAAAATTTTTTTAACAAATAGTTTATTATGTAAACTTATAAATTATTAATTAATTAAGTTTGAATATTTTAATTGATCAATCATCATTAATCATGTGATTTCACAAAAATCATGGTGTGTTTATTTTGTCACTTTACGAAAATATTTTTGATTATTTATTTTATTGTAAAATTACAATAAAATTATTATTATTTTATATATTTTAACAATCTGCCATCTATTATAACCACCTGATACTTTTAAAACATCCTTTACTCATTTAGGCATTGATTCTATTAGTTTAATACATGTATCTTTTGAAGTTTTGTTCCAAATTTTAAATACATATTCCCATAATAAATTTTTCCCCCTAATTTCAACATTTAATGATCTAAGATGACAGTCAACATCATTTCAAAGATGTTCTATTGGATTAAGCTCAGGTGACCGTGGCAGCCAGCTTAAAATATTAATTTTATTTTCTTCAAACTATTTTGCTATATATTTAGCTATGTGTTTAGGGTCATTATCTTGTTGAAAGATAATATCTTCTATCTCTAATCCATAGTGTTCTAGAGACCTTAGAAAGTCTTCATTTAAAATTTGACAACAGAATTCAGCATCAAGGTCTCCATCAATTTTTAAAAGATATCCTGTACCTCCTGATGTAAAACACTTCCAACAAAAATACTATCACCTCCAAACATAACTGTAGGTTTAACAAATCTATCATTAAGACCTTCTCCTTGTCTTTTCCAACAATATTGACATCTATCAGAATCAAATATTTGAAATTTTGATTCATCAGACCAAATAACCTGTTTCTAATCTTCAACAGTCCACTCCTTATATTTTTTTGCAAAGGCAAGATGTTTTTGATGATGAGTTTCGGAGAGTAGAGGCTTCTTGTTACCAAACCATATTTTTTCAATGCTTTACGAACAGTGTTAGTACTGACATTAATGTTTTCATATATTTTTAATGATTTTTGAAGTGCTAAAGCTGTTGGTACTTCATTAGATATAATTCGGTGAATAAGGGTTCATTCATTCCTCTCATATAAAATTTGTTTTCTTCCTTGACCTTCTTTGTTATTAACTTTTCCAGTTTCTTCATACTTCATTTTTAAACGTAAAATTGACATTTCCTAGTCCTTTATCTACTTCTTGTGAAGTAAATCCTGCTTGTAGTAGAGCAATTGAATGTTCTCATCATTCAAAAGTTAATTGCATTATTTATAATAAAATGAGTAGATTTTTATAAGCGAATTAAATGAATGTAATATAAGAAATATTTTATCTTATTTTGATTTTTGGTGATAACTGTTTAAAAAAAAAAACTTTACTTAGAAGCATTTTGTTGAAAAAAAAATGTCAAAATAAACACACCAAGATTTTATTTACCATTGTTGATCAATTGGTCAATCGGCATCCAGATTAGGTGATAATGATTTACAGTGAATCAGGTAAGTTTATAGTGGTGCGTTTATTTTGGAAGCCACTGTAAATAAATCTTTGGCACTAGAATTAATATCTGAAGCTAATTCTTTTAACCAGATATTTTTTTGTGAATTAGATTTAAGATTTGAAAATAGTTTTTTTTTTTGAATTAATTGGTGATATATTTTCTTTGTTTTCATGATGTGATTCAAGACAGATTAAATCTAAATCAAATAAAATAACATCCAATAAACTAGAACTTTTGCATTCATTATTTTCTATTTGAAATAATTTTTTATTAATAATTATATTAAATAAAATTTTTTATTAAATTAATATTTATTATTATAATATATAAATGTACAAATTGTTTCGCAGCCTCACTAGCTGATTTTAAACTATTTACATTATACCTTTTTCCACCTTCCTCCCATGATACCTGATATGCTACCTTTCATTAAATTCGTAATTTGTTTGACAAATAACATCCAGTTCATAAATTAAAACTTGAACCCGATAACCATTTGGAATTCGAAATTTACTTCTTTGTGTACGTCGCACATTTGTTAGATAATTTCCCAAATCCAAAATATTATATTGATAGTAATAAGTATGTTTTCCTTGGTAATGTATCGCATTAACCTTAGGATAACAATCTTCTTCAAATTTTTTAGCATTATTTTCTCCAAAACTTGTTATATTGTCATTATTATTTTCAATTACTCGAGATTTTTTTAATGTTGGTGATTTAGATATAAAACTGTTCGGAGTTAATGGTAAATCAAGAGTAATTTGAGTATTTATTAAAGTTGAAACGTTAGAATTAAGATTTGAAAGGGGAGATGTTACGAAGTGGGACATATTTAAGTATATTAAATTTAGAATTATTTTTTTAAACTAATAAAATTAATAAAAATAATTTTGAAACTTCAAGCCGAATTTCATTCAGAATTCCTATATTACTCTTTTAGTGAATAAACCTCATGGCAACTCATGGGCAGATCTAAACAAAGTAATATATCAAGTATATAAATTAAATTTTTAAATTGAATTCGCTAATATCAACAATCACAAACAATCACATGTTCCACATCAACAATCACATAAAATCACATGTATTCCATAATGATCACATTTATTTTATTAATTAAATCGGCGGCCCATATGAAAATAGCCCATACAGATGCGTCAAAAAACAAAAAACATTTAAAAATTAAAAATAACTAAAAATGATTACATTAGTGATTTCATCATCTTTGTGTAATCACTTCCCTCTACCACCAGAAGCAATTATAGGAACAATTGGATCAGGATAAACCGAGCCACTTGATACGAAGAAATTGCAAAGCCATCCTTTTAGGGTTCAATAGTTTTAAAAAAATTATAACAATTTCTTCTTGGCAAAAAATTACAAGTACTGATAATAATACAAATTTTTATATTTGTTTTCTACGACTAATATTATTCTCAACTGTACATTCTTCAGCAGCCATTCCCATAAGATAATTAACAATTCCATCCACAAATGTTTGATAACTTTAGTGGCATAGTAAGGAATCACAACCTATAACAATAAACATCTTAAAATTTATTCAAATAATTCAGAAAAGATAAAGTATAGTCATAATTACATTAGCATGCTAAGTAATAATAGTTTGTGCTAAAATAAAAGCTTTAATAGTTGCAACCACATTGTCAGAATGTCAGAAATCCCAGCAATCAAAATAATTTTTTAAAGAATAATTTCACAATTTATCGAAATAATTCCTTTACAATTGATTCTAGTTTTGTGGAACTAAAAGAAACCAATGAACCATTAAATACACCAGTTTATGTTCTTACGTAAATAGCAATATAGATATCTAATGTGATGATGAAAAACTATTGTTACAAAATATATAGAATTTTGTTATTAAGGTTTTTTCTAGTCACTTAAATTCTAAACTATTCTCTAAAAAATGTAATTTAAAAGAAACCAATCTTTAGTTGATAAAAAGCCGGCTATTAAAAAATACAAAGATTTTGCCCGAAATTTTTTTATAATTGTCGTGTGGCAAAATAAAGGAAAAAAATTTAGGAGATTTATTGAAAGTATGCTATTTTTATTTAAATAAAATTCTCGAAGGGCATTCTTTTTGAAAGAATTATTATTCTGTTTAGAAGTGCAACTTTTTTTTTTAAAAAATCTACATTAAAATATAAAAATCATATGCGATTTAAATAATCCTTCATTTCTATTTTGATATAGTACGTATTCCGATAGAGTACGAAAGGACGATTTTTATTTACCTAAATTTGCCTCGTATGTAAGCGCAAGTAAGGAAGAAAGAATTCTTTTAAATATTTTTTTTTAAAATAAACAAATTTTAAAATATTTTATTATGATTGTTCTAAAAATACAATATAATTAGCTTGATAATTTGATTGTTGCTACATTTATAACTATTTTTACTCGTTTGTTAAAATACAATTTCTTTGTGTTAAAAATACAGAGTTGATGAAAAATTTCTAATGAGAAATGATGCACTCAATTAATAAATTTAAAATACAAAATATTATGAAAAGTCCTTTCAAGTGTTAAAATTATAAAACAAATAAAATAAAATGATATCAAAATTTCTTCTTGATCTTATTTTACTTTCCTAAATATTTCCAATTTCTTGCCCATCATATTTCTAGGTAAAGTAGCTGAACGTTTTTTATTCTTAGAACTATTGTATTTCACACACAATTCCTTAACATCACCTGGAAGGGTTTCTTTACTGAAGTCCGTTGGCCTTTCGATTAATTGAGCAACCATACCCAATTCTACGTGCCATTCAATATGACAATGGAAGGCCCATACACCAGGATTATCTGCAATATATCTTATCACTAAGTGACTCTCTGGAGGTACTGTAGCAGTATCCCTAATGATTGGATTTTTCAAATTGAATGTAGATAAATTTTTGGGATCTATTCCTGATCCTGACGCAATTAGCCAAAAGGTGTGTCCGTGTAAATGGAATGGATGATCTGTTTTCAAACTATTTAAAAGAATAATTTGAACACACCCGTTGGGGGTATCATATCCATATGAATTTTGACTTGTTTCGAAATCAGCAAAGTTTTCATGTTTTAATATTCTTTGATTCGAAGGATTCTCGAAAATAGGAACAAAGGATGAATTATTGATATTGAAGACACTAACATTTTTAGCATCACTGGACACTGTGATGTTAAATATAAATTCATTAGTAACGTTTGTGGGTGGAGGATTATCTTCGTATGGTCGTATAGCAGTAGCATTGAGATCTTCGCAAGGTGTGAGGTTTAATGGATATGCAGTTGATGTGGGTTTATTACTGTCTGCACCATCATAGTGAAGAATACCAGTAGCATTGGTGATAGGAGAATTATAGTTGATAGTGTCATTTGATCTAGGTAAACAAATATCAGGAATGATAGCGCGGATGTAATAATTGGCAATCGGTTGATTACAGTCCACTATAACCGAGTAACGTTGAGCAATATGAATCGGCAAGACCTTTACTGTGGCAGCATCAGTATCTTTTACAGGAGTTCCTTCAACTTCGATAATCTTGAGTGGATGATTATCAATGGTAAAGAAAAAGAATGCGTAGGCGCTAGTGTTGATAATACGAAATCTGTATTTCTTTCCTTTTTTAACATTGTAGGTGGCAGGGGTGACTTTAGAATTACAATTTTTACCTGCTGCTGGTGACGAACAGTTATATTGACCTGCACCACTGATAAGAATAGCATCAGGGACAGGCTATAAAAATGTACAAAATGTATAAAATGTAATTAGAAATTGTAAAATTACAAATTACAAATTAATCACATAATAACTTACGTTTGGTCCTCTATAGCCAGGAGCCATTCTCAAAGGAAGAAGTACTGAAGTAGTATTATGATACCAATCACCTATTGTAACCACATATTCTTCATCATAACTGCCTAGATAAGGGTCTTTTGGATCATAAACAATGAGTGGACCAATTAATCCATCAACATATTGAGCAAGGAAATGCGAATGATACCAATAAGTTCCAGATTGATCCAAAGTGTAATTATAGATGAAGGAACATCCATCTGTAATTGGGCATTGAGTTTGACCAGGAACTCCATCATACCAATTCGTTTTACGTTGAAAGATGCCGTGCCAATGAATAGTAGATTCTTCTTCTAAATTATTGATTACTTTTATTACTAAACGATCACCTTTATTAGCTATAATGAGAGGACCTGGATATTGCTTGTTAACACTCCATACTACGCGCTCGAAACCATCAGGAGAAAGTTTTTTTTTTGTTAATTCGAATTCATAATAACGAGTTGTGGGCGAACACTCTTTTAATTTAGGTAAAGGATCAAAAATATATGGTTCAGGTTTATGTCTAGGTTCCAATTCAAAAAACTCTTTTGGTACAATTGGAGATGCAGTAACAACATAGAAACCACATAATACAACACCAATTATCGATAATATTTTAAATTTCATTTCTCAAGAGAGATAAAAAAAAAAAAAGATTACAGTATATATTTTATTCAAGAAATTAAAATTATAAATAAAGCAATTTTTGTCGAGAATAAAAAATTTCAAAAGAAATAAATCTTTTAAATGTTTAAATAATTCATTGCCTAGACTTTATATATTATAGAAAAAGAATTGTTATTGATTGTGATAATGAATATGAACATATTCGATTTTTCAAAGTTACTCAACGCGAAAACTATAAATAAAACAAAAATAAGAATAAAGTATAAATTGAGTAACAAATGTATAAATAAATTAAGAAAAGCGGCGGGTTTTTTAATTATCTCCGAAGTCCGAGAAATTTACCTTTTACATAATTGAAGGATTTTTCAGTTATGGTACGCAATGATGATCAACAAGCTTTTGTACAGTTTTTTTTTTCTGAATGTCTATTTATAGAATATTTATATATTTACTATATTTTTTTTTTATATTTTCATATTTATTTTTTATCTTTTTTTCTTTGATAATCTTTGTATAACAATCCACAATTTTTCTATTATTTCAGTAGTCGATTTATTTTTTTTCTTTTGTTCACCAATTTTGTTCACCGATCGCTAAATCAACTCATTTGTTTGCATGGAATAAATATTTAAGATTGACACCGCTGATGACTGAATTATACAAAAAAACTAGTTATTGTTACAATGGACGCGATTTTGAGAATTGTTATAGACGCGTTTTCTATTTTCTCGTACAATGAAAACACATAATAAGAACACATAGGAAGCAAGAGCATGCGTTTAGGTTACGGATTTTCATAGACAAGATTTATTTGCTTGCGAATGATATTTTGAATGCATAATAATTAAAAAATTATAAATAGTTTAATTATTTATCTCTTTAGGTTACACACGGCTATCACGAATAAATAGATTACCAAAATAATTAACAAATATAAAACTATTAATTTTTGACTTTTTGTGGGGCTCTTCTCTGAAAAAGTAAAAAATTACCTTTTATATCATTCAAATCTATAAAAGTCAACTTTTACTCTTTTATAAAAGATTGTCACTTCAAAAATTGTCTCGAGATTAATTATTAGCATGCATGGTATTTTGTATTTATTAAACCAGATATAATTAATTAAATTAGTTAATTAAATGAATTTACAATTATAATTAAAATCAAAATTTACCAATACAACAAAATGAAAAAATTATTAATTAATAGTTAAAAGAATCTAATAATATTAAATTTTATACGAAGTGAAGATCGCGTTAACGAAACTATTTTCCCATACTTTTCATTATACCTGCAGCCCAAATTCAAAATCCAAATGTCGAAATCCCAAATCCCAAAGTATACTTTTCATTAATATCTTTGATGTGAATGTTGAGAATCTTCCACCTATCTTCCACCCTTTACTTCTACCCTACTTTACTTAACTTGTAACATTTTCCTCCAAAACTTGAATTTAAAATTCCAATATTATTATTAATTCTAATGTATATATTTTTTTATTGTAACAATCTATTTAAAAACTTTAAATAAATTTTAAACACAAGGAATACAAGAATAGGAATTAGAACGGACTTATATAATCCGGTTTCACCCGGATAACGCAGGTGACCCGATTTAAACTTTCTAAACCGAATCATCCTTTAATGTTTTTTATTTTTAGAAATTTTGCGTAACTTGGAGCGATTTTCTACTAAAGTATTTCTAGGATAGATAAAACAGCCTTATTATCAGCTACAAAATTGTATGTGTCCTGTTGCACCGATATTTTCGGAGTTATTAGTTTAAAGAAAGCGTCCGTGAAAATCGTGCATCACGCAATCCAATATTGTGAATTTTGTATTCGTAAATATTTGTACATCTGGAAATAATGAAATTGACAAAAGAATTCATGAATGTCAGTAAAAAAACTGTAACACCTGATAAAGTAATTGAATGGAAAGATCGAACATCTAACAGGAGGATGGCTACCATTTATACAGCCCTTTGGAAAGATGGACTGGAATTCTGAAAGACAAATACTGGAAGATATGACAAAAGATTTGTTTGAATCGATTGAATAACTCAAATAATAATAATGTGAATTTGCTTCACGAAGTAAGATAAATTATTATTGCATCATTTTATTCTGTTTTAGTTTCAGAAATAATTACAAAAATTATTAGGTGATATTAAGTTTAACACTTGATAAAACCTCCACATTTCTGGCTAACTGTTATAGACTAACCAATGATCCAAATACCAAAGATTATATGTTAGTCTTAAATTATTATGATAATGATTAAGACATTTTTAAAGGATAATTATCAATTACTTACAAAAATGTAATATTGTTTGTACGATCGCCGATAATTATGCGAAATCCATAAACAAAATATAACACAGAGATCTGTACTCCGGAATTTTTTTATATAATTCACGAAATACTGGCTGGTATATTAGTGATTTAGGATTGTGTAGGCAGTTGACAAATGATAAGATGATATCTATGCGAATCTCCCATGCATTGACCTGAACTTTTATGTAAAGAAAATTATACAAAAAAATCAGATATGTATAGTTTTGGTATTATAATGTGGGAAGTGATTACTGCTGAAACTCCCTTTAGCGATCATGAATTCAATTCTGGTTCTGATTTTGCTCTTGCAATAATTAATGGATATATACCTAAAATTCTCGAATATATTCCATATGAATATGCAACCTTAATAATCAATGTTGGGATGTTAATCCTGATAATAGACCTGATGCATTGACAATTAGAAATAAAATAGATGAAATGGATAAACGAGAAGAACCTATTAAATCTGACAGTTCAGAATCAAATTTTTCCCAATCAAGCTTGACGAAAATTAAAAATCCCAAACCAGTAAAGTATTACTTTTAATATTTAGGTTCAACCTAGAAATGCCACAGAAAGTAATACATTTTTAAATTTATTTTTTTATTTATTTTATTTAAATTTATTAATTAATTTATAAATTTTTTTATCACGTATCCCAATTTATATATTGGGTGGCAATTGTTTTAATCTTTGCCTTCTCTATTCAACGGAATGGCATGGAAGCAACCTTCAAGACAGCATTAATAGAGTCGATAAAGAGAATAAATATTTTAAAAAATTTCAAATAAGATCAATGTGATTTCTGATATAAAACTAACCAAGAATATTGCTTCGTTAGTCTCCAATTGTACAAAATCCACAAGACATATGATTTCCATAAATCTTGGGAAGTGAGATTATAATTTAAAGCCAATTCGTATTCTAGTGAATTATCTCGAATATTCCTACTTCAATTAATTCTTCTTAACCACAAATCAGTAGTATAAATATGCTCGAATTTTGATTCATTACTTACTAAAATCCAGTCAAATCTACTTGCATAACATTTGTTTTAAGACCATATTGCTTTTGATAATATTCTAGTTTTGCCAAATAATTTCTCTCAAAAAAAAAAATGAAAATCGATATTGAATAAAGATAAAAATAACAATGATAAATCATATAAATGAATAATCATACCAATGTTCTTTACATTGATCGTCTGAGAAACTCGGTAAATAAATTTATAGTTTTTTGCTCCCAACCCTCAACACTTTCTCCTTTTTTATAGTGGTAATGCATAGAACAAAATTTGCATCAAGACCAAAATGTGTCTTTCAACAAAAAATGATCTGAATTTTATATAATTTCTAAAGTCTATTGCAATACCAGTCATCAGGAAGTTTTAATAGGCGAAATTTTCCGGAGATTTTCGGGTGTTTTTTTACGTTTTTTCGCTCGCGATTTATGAACCGTAGAGCGATTTTCTACTAAAATACTTATAAGATTCTTTGTTCTTAGCTACAAAATTGTATGTGTTTCATTCCAGTATCAGCAATATTTGTGGAGTTATTATGGTTTAAAGAAAACGTCCGTGAAAAAAATCGTGCAAATTTTCGCACATGATTTTTTACGGGAGCTTTTCTTAAAACTGCAATAATTCCACGGATATAAATTTTAACGGGATAAAATACATACCATTTGATAGCAATAAGCTATGCCTTTCTTTCTATCCTAGAAATAACTTAGTGGAAAATCGCTTCACGCTTCATAAATCGTCGCGAAGTCGAAAAAACGTAAAAAAACTGAAAATTTTTTGTAATTCACTCGTGATTTATGAAGGTATTTCTAATATAGAAAGAAAGAATTTGTTCTTGACTACAAAATAGTGGGTGTTCCATCCCAGTAACATTGGTATTCGAGGAAGTTATTATGGTTTTAAAAAAAGTTCGTAAAAATTTGCGTTGCGTAAATCTTCCGGAAATTTTCGCCCGATTTTTTTTCACGACGTTTTTCTTTAAACTGCAATAGTTCCGAAAATATCACAACTAACAGGATGAAATACATTCTATTTTGTAGCCAAGACCAGGGTCTTTCTTTCTATCTTAAAAACACTTTAGTAGAAAATCACTCTGTTTTTCATGAATCGCGAGCGAAGTCAAAAAAAAAAGTAAAAAACACCAGAAATTTCGCATATTAAAATTTCCTGATGTATACCAATACTATAATAATGCTGATAATTATATATATTGCTCCTGAATAAATAATTTATACATTAAATCCGTCAATTACTTTTGATAAATATAGTCAACAGTTAATAGTGTATCAGAGTATTTAATTGGATCAAAGTTCAATATTCTAATTGAAGAAATTCTATTTTTCTCCATATTCTTAAATTTCTTTTGAAGCCCAGCCACTAGATATATAGGTAAATATATTACTATTATATATACTGTATAACTACCTTTATTTTCAAGAGTTTCTTATATCGATTCTTTTATTCAACATTCCTACTAATTTTTTTTTTTTTCTTTTTATTTCCGAAATCAATTCTTCGGTTTTGTATTCTCGTAGGTGATCTACGTATCGATGCATGCCTTTCAGCCAAGTCTTTTCACTATAGTTATAATAGTTATAGATTTTGTTTTTTCTTAGTTATTAAATTCTTTTATAAATATTC